TAGTATTTTAATTTTTTTTTTTTAGTTTTATTATTTTTATTATTTTTATTTATATATATTTTTTATTTTTAGTTTTATTATTTTTATTATTTTTATTTATATATATTTTTTATTTTTAGCAGCTTATTTGGGAGAAGTCGAGTATATTTTAAGAAGGGATTCCATAGTAGAAACTCATTCATTGGTAAATTATAAATTATCATATAGACGACCTAATTGTGTTGAGACTGCGTCTAGTTTGGACATTAGAAGGTCCATTCTATCAGGTTGTTCGTAATCATTGAAGGCGTAATCTGTGCTGCGCTGATCAATTACAACAAATCATGTGATTTGAAATGTTTTGCAGATCTGACCGATATGACAAATTGAACAAATCTGACAAATATGACAGATTGGTCATATTTAACCGATCTACCAGATTTATTATATTCGTTATATATGTTATATCTGTTAGTTTAGATAGATTAGTTATATTTATTATATTTATTATATCTATTATATTTATCATATTATATTTACTATTATTTTATTTTATATAAATACTCTGTATCTTTGACCTGCAAAATAGCAGAGTCGCTACAATTCTCTAATAAATCAATAACTTTTATCTCTTAAAACTTATCTTTGCTCGTATAATAATTCATTCTTCTATAAATCTATATTAATAAAGATGACCTGACCCTTCAAATTAATTATACGTATTTATTTCTTTCATAGTTTAGACGCACTTAAATTCTCTGCAAGCAAATAATCTTTGTTAACTTAATGATGAACAGTTTAAGCTTAACATTGTGGATATCGTTAACAGGTTTGAGTAACCTTTAGGATTCAGGTGGAGGGATTCTAATTTATCTACCCAATTGTCAGGTGCGTGGATGCTTGTATTAAGAGAATTCTCACCTTTTTGTTAATCATTACTGATAGGAGGACGTGGTAAACCTTTATTGGTGGTGGTCTAGGAGTTTCCAGTACTTTTTCCTTTCCGTTATTAGTTATATGAGCGAATGAGATCAATTTTGAAACTGGTTTGCTAGGCGTAATATAATTCTTAAACTGTGCTGCCTGATATCTTTGATAGAGATTTTGCATTTGTCTATCTTTGGGTGTTTGTCTTGCTTTTCGACAGTTATCAGATCGGTGTCCTGGTACTGAACAAATAAAGCAGAGTTTGCTGGACGGATCAGTCCAAATTAGTCTCTTGCGATCCAAGAAAATGGTATCACCATTCAGTGCTACTTGGCGGTCTTCATCATTCTTGAAGTAGAGAAGACTGTGTATTGCAGATTATGATAATTAGCTTTTGATTTTGGTATAACGAAGGCTGTAGCGTTCACAGCTTTACCAATAGGAATCAATTGTCTTCCATTCGTATCTTTAGGGAGATTAGTAAGTTTAAGTGAGAATTTTGATTTTTCTCTAATGGCCATGTTCTCGAGGATACAACAATAGACTCGAACCATATCTTTAAGTACAAAGTATCTGTGTACTTGGTCCAATTGTGACATGTCAGTACCTTTTTCGAACATGAGTGTAGCTTGCTGCCATAAATTTTTTGTGGACATAATGCAGCGTATAATCTTCCCAAAAAAGGAAAATGACGATCTGATATTTTGGGCTAGTGTGGAAATCGGAATCTCTGTAATTTTGATCGACAGTTCAAAGTAAATTTGGCTGATTTTTCCAAGACTAATGGGATGAAAGTCTCATTTCCTAATTGAGTAATCTGCATTGTGATAGCACAGTCGAAGTCAGCACAAGTTGAAAAGCCAATTCTAATAATTTTAGTTTGTTTGTTATCCAGGTGTGATCTAACCGATGCACCAATGAAAGACGGTAAGTGCAATTCATTGAAAATATCATTGGTCAGATTGATTTTTTCTTTGTTTGTGTGTTCGAGAAAAAATTTTCACTGGTACAGTAGGCAAAGAAAAGGGGAGAGTCCTCTTCATGGGCAAAGTTGATAATATTATTATTGCTGTTAGATCCAAGCAAGTTTTCTGTAGTGTCGAAGCTTTCGTTTTCACCATAATTGGTAACTGGTGGTATAGGAACTTCAGGTTGTTTTCCTTTGTCATTAGAAGTTGAAGGAACTGGATCGACCTCCATTTCAGTTTCTTTCAGTATATCTTTTCAGTTTTGTTGTCAGAGATAGGTGTTGAGAAGTCTGGGATATCAAGTTGTTGTTTCTTAGTTGCTCTTTCATTTGTTGGCGAACCAGAACGGCCGCGTTGAGCTTTCTTGCTCAGATTATTGTTAAAATTTTTTGTTGTTTTCTGTTGCTGAGGCATGGTCGGGTAGATCAGCAGAAAGAGTTTTTATTAAACCCTTTGTTACTATTTAACATATAGTTATAAATTTTTTAAATAAGTATAAATTGGGTTGGAAACTGATTTATGTAATTCTATCTAATAATTAAGATTATGGTCTTAACCGATTCATACCTGATTGTAGTATTTACTGATTTCTATATATTGATTGCTGATCAAAAAATAGTGATTAATGGGTAAGGTACCTGATTGATGAATGTTCGAAATGTGTAAAGCTTATTAACAAGACAAAGACTCATTTAATCATCCCTCTTCAATTTGATGAAAACACTCTGACCTTAGAGCTCTTAGATATCTGGTCTTTAGCAATATCACCTACCTTCACATTTGTAGACTTATCAAAAGTCTTGTTTTTACTAATCTTTACAACTTTGTCAATTCTCATCTCACTTCAAAGAAATCCATGATAGCGGCGATTTCAGACTTCATGTATTTTATATTTACTTAAATACAAACTATATGATTGGATAGATATTCAGTTTTCAAAGATTTTAAGAAATCATATGATTTCATAAATAGGATTAAACGTTTTTACATGAAAGCATCTAGTTGCCAGTTCTTCTCATCTCTTTCTAACTTTTCTTCCACTGACTTGATTTATAAAATGATACATTTAGGATCGCATTAGTCAAATTTTTGGTGTAGTAGAGATCAAGCTCCTTTCTCTCTCTGGTTGGTTTACTAAAAGGTGATGATGTAAATTTTTTATATCTGATTCTGGGAAAATGCAGGATCAGTTTTGATTTAGAATAGTATTTTTATTATTTTAGATAGAGATTTTCATAACTTCTGTTTTATATAATTTTTTTATATTATCAATAAAGATTTTGCGAAATTACCGCATTTTAAAATAAAAAAATATTTCTTGATGAAGAATGGTGTCCCTGACTCAGTGATTAAACTACTAGTCTCCTATAAGCTAAAGTTTTATTACAAAGTGATAGGCTATCAGTTCAGATATTAGCTAATACATAAAACTAAATAATTTTCATAAGAATTTCATATGTAGCTGAAATGATAGGCATGTGTACTATTATGTGTATAAATCTGGTTGATTGATCTATTGATCATCATTAATCATGTTTAAATACTGCATAGTATTAAAATATGTAAATGCAAATAAAGCCTTAGATCAATAGAAACTTAGCCTTCACTAATTGGTCTGTAATAGATATAATCTTACGTCTCACCTGGTAGGGACCCTTATTTCTATATACATAAATATATAAATTAAGGAAGTGATTGACCAGGATTTAATAGATTAGATCAATGGTGATAATAGATTGCATTTACACATTACAGCATCGTCTAATAAAGCTATCATTAGGGTTAGAGGTCAGGTTCAATTTCTGGGATTTTTGACGAAATGAGTATAAAGTCATCTTGTTAAGTAGAGTTACTCTCGATCACTAGTTTAATAATGCACTATGTGAGTGTAAGATAAATTGTAAACTACTTAACTTTGGTAAAGTATAGAAGTGATGACTTTATGGGCTGAAGTGATTCCCTTATTCAAATTTGATAGTACCTAGAGATCTAGGTACCTATACATACCTCTTAAAAAGGTTGTATAGAGTCTATTTCTAGATGACAACCTCTGAAAATAGTGCATATTAATGGTTGCCTCATATGAAAAACTATGTTAGACCTTAGGTGATACCCTTATAACATACAACTTCAGTTATAATAAAAAACTATGTATTTATCACCAGTTAACGTACTAAAAAAAAATATTTCTTGATTAAGACACAAAGATATTTCAGGTAAAATTAAGCCTTGTGTTTTATGCACTGTAAGAGCAAAGGCAATTTGTAAGAGAAATTGACACCTACTTGATAGTTTTTCATCTATTAGAAATGTAGATGTTTCTTTTTTAATTCCAATATTGACAATTCCACCCATTACACTAAAAGTGATTCTTACTTGTAAAGGATCTAAATTAATATCTAATATAATACCAATGGTACTATTATATATATTATATTCAATTAAGTTATTCTTTAGATATATTACTCAAGCATCTTATTATAAATGTAGATGACTCAGAAAATTATTTTTTTTAAAAATAATTTTGGAATTATCTGGATTAAATTATTCTTTATTAATAAAATCAATGGCTGAACTAATTAAAAACTTATCATCATTTACTGGTAGCATATTGCAAATCATATTGTTTATGTGATCAGCAATTCATTTGTATTTATTGATATTTATTATATTAAGGGTAACATTGAGTGGATTTTGATGATCAAAGGATCTATTTTTTTGATATAAAGTAGTCTATGTATCTAATTATATGTTGTCTAACCTAATTTCTTGTAAGATATTATCGTTATAGTATCGTATGTCTTAGTTTTGTTTTTGAGATTATCTTAAGAATAAGGGATAAAACAATTTCTATTCTGATAATTTGTATACAGGTAATCCAGTTATGAAAGGTAATTGTTTCTACTCTTTCAAAAAATTGAGTTATGTTGTTTTAATTAAATAATAGGAATTTTTTAAAACATGCTTTTTGAGTTACTGAAAGTAATGTATAAAATGTAATGTAATATGTACTGGTTTGTTTGTTGGAATTGTATGGTGATTATCTATTGATTTTAAAATTTTATGTAAGTGATTTCAATGACTTTTAGCCATTGTTAATATAAGAAAAATTGAAGGTAATCCATAAAAGAAAATCATTGTATTATATTAACGTGATGCTGTTTTTCATAAAAATAAGATTCACTGGTTTGAAAGAAAGTTGGTAAGGTGGTTGTTAATGATTCATCTATTATTAGTTTATTAGAATAATTAGAGATTCAAATAAGCTGTACAGCAGTTAGTAAATGATATATTTTGTCAGCTTGTTGTTGTCTTCATATACATTGATTATTTTAGTAGTTGCATAATTTTTCTAATTATAAATATGTTCATGCTAATCATTTATGATAGAACCTAAAATATTAATCGATATTAAGTGTTCTTTGTTTTCTTTGTTTATATATTTAGAATAGGTTAATAATATCTTTTTTTATTTGGAAATAAATTGGAAAATAATAAAGCTTTCAAATTTAGATCATTTACAAATATTGGTAGCAAAGTATTGTTTGAAGTTCTGACAAATACTACCATTAGATTTTTCACTTTGTAAAAATATGCTTTTAATAAAAATTTTTCAACATTTATCTGATCATAAAAAAAATTAACATACTATAGCTTTGAAATAACATTAGATCAAATGTAAATTTTAGCATACTTTATTATTTAAGATTTATTTTTTAGTTAAAAGATGATTTTATAAAATATATTCAAATTAGATGTTGATTCAACTTCCCTAACATGACCAATAATTGTTATGTCTATATTCGTTATAAATAAATTTTTATTTGAATAGTTTTTTATATAAATCTTTTTTATTTATATATTTTTGATTATTAATTCAATTATTTTTCTTAAAATTTTCAAGTTATAAATGATATTGTACCACTTAGTCGCAAAAGATAATTTTTTTAAGTTTATTTTTTTATAAAAAATAAAATAATATATTATAGTAAAAGAATATCTTGAAAATTAAGAAATTAATCCATGGATTAATTTATATTTCAATCCCAGTAGGATTGTTATAAGCTACATTACAATGTAAATTACATTGTAATTACATCTAAGTTATGTAATGCAAGATAAATTTCAGATAAATTTGATTACAAATTTAAAATTACTATACAATTAGAATTTGATTTGAAACTACTTTGTATTATTTATTATTGTAATATTGTATCTCTTTATAAACCAATATTAATTTCGATTTCGCTGTTTTTTTTTAAACTCTTTAACTAAACTAATAATGACTATTGCAATTTTCGTAAAATTCTAAGATTCCAATAAATATATATTATTTTTTTCATTCTCTTATTATGTAATTAATTATGTAATTTAGTATAAAAGCTGACCAATTCCATTCACTAGCAGCTGAAGTTGCAGGTATTTAAAAAACTTTAAGAGCTACTTGATTTAATTTTAGATATCGTGCTTTTAACAAACCAATTTATTGGCTTTTTTTTTATATCACCCTACAAATGTTTTTTTGCAAATCCACTTGTTTGACTAACATATTTTACTAATTCATTTAATACTTGATTATCATTTTCTTCTTCTGCAAACCTAGTGATTTCTTCTTCAATAATATTATATATTAAGAATTTTACCTCTATATTGTGAATCTAATTTATATGCAACCATGATTGTAGGATTATACATAAAATTATTCCAATGTATTTGTTAAGTTTAATTACTTCATCCTGAACTTATTTTGAAATAGTTAAATTATTTTTAATTTCAGATTCTTATTCTTATAATTTAATAAATGCTGATGAGAGAAATGGTTCATCATTTTCAAGTTAACTAATAAAAATGATAAAAGGTTTTAGTAAATTATGTAAATCTATTAGATTTTCCAAAAACTTTCACTATGAAGGTAAACTGCATTATCTTCATTAATTTCTATTTCTTCAGATAAAATGGATCACAAAACTGCTTTAGTTTAAAGAATATAATCAAAACAATAAAAAGCTGATTTCTATCGTGTATTAACAGTTAATACCAAAGCAATTATATACTCATATTTTTTCAATTGAAGTTGACGAAATGTTGTTAAAGAAATTTAATGTTTACAAAAATATTATATTACTTTTTTTTCTTTTTCTAAAACTGATTTAGTCCAATTAATTCTTAAAATATCTTTTACTCAAAGATTTTTAGCATGTGTCAAGCAACAAAAATACTTTATTAGAATATTTGACTTTGAGAATCTTTTATGTAGCTTTCATATTAAGAGCATCATCAGTAATAAAAATAGCAAATTTGTTAATTTCTGCTTGCTTCATTATAAGTTTATACCCTATGTAATATTTTCTGCGTAATGATATAGGAATTGACTTATAAAAATAGGTTTTGGTGTAGTAATCATATAATTAATAATAGATCTTTATTAATTTTAGATCATCCATTAGTTGTGAGATAAAAATATTGTGTTTAATTAAGTAAATAATTAGTAACAGTTCTAATATCTTCGAACTCTTGGTCTAAAAGGGTATTTGAAATGGTTTGACGAGTTGGTAATTTGAATAAAGGACAAGCTTTTACAAAAAAAGCTTTCATGTCCTCATTTTAAGAATATTAAAAGGAATACCTGTATAACACAAGTAAACTTTCTAATTCTTTCTGCTTTGCTATTATTATTTTAGTAACAAAATTATTTATGATTGCTTATTGTCATTTTTTGAAAGCTGGTTGTTTAGCTGGAGAGGTAGGTGTTTCTGTTATATTAGCTGAAAAGGCTCACAAAGCACAATTGTTGTAATGGTCTTGTAATCGTTTAAATTTATAATGTTACTTTCCTTGAACATTAATTTGTATATCATATTCTTATCTATATTGTTTTGTAAAAAAAAAAAAACAAAAAAAAGATCGGGGCATAGTATATATTAAAACCAACAACATGATCAAAAAATAAAAATACGAACAATTCACACACAAATTCAATAAGTTACACAAGACCAACCACCTCGGAGCATAGGTAAAGTGTCAATATCGAGGATTATGATTGGCTGAAATCAATTTTATAAGATATTGGTCGATCTTCAAAGGAATGATCATCTTTTTGAATTCTAACCTTGTTCACGTGAATATTAAAGACATTAGTACTACAAACCAACATAACTTACTTTGTGTAACACGTTCTTCCCAGGGACGATGATTTATGATATTTCACAATAAATCACACAAGTCACAAAATTTTGTAACAAACACAAAATTTTACATTACTACCACATAATTTCACAAATTTGATCCTTTGTATATAATATGCACATAATCCCACATAATTTCCACACAATTTCCATATATTTTCTCACATAATCCATAATCGCAGAGTTACTGTCAAATTTGATATGTAATTTATTTAATTTCTTTGGTCAAATTACGGTTTATTATAATAAAACTATACAAAATTATCACATAATATTACAAAATCCTAACACTGGATCTTATTGGATCTTATGAAAAAGATTTCAGAAAGTAAGCAAATTGTCATAAGAGCGATCGCTTTTTAATTGAATCCTATTGTAAAATATATATAAATAATTGTGTAACGATGTTCATACTATTAAAAAAAAAAAATTATTATCGTATCAACCTCGTGTCGTGTGTACGACAATATATCATAATTATCAGTCATTCACGAAAAGTCGTTATCAAGAGAAAGTATGTAGCTAACTAAACTTCATCGTTCGCGTGTATAAAAAACGAATTCTTTATTATTCTCTATTCAAATCTGATTTCGTCTTTAATAATCAGCTATGAGCGAACCTTATTACACCGGCTACAAGGGTAAGTCTTGTTTGACCTTCACTCGCTAAATTCACAGCTCCTAATCTATTTGAATTTCCAGAGCTTATCTCCTACATAAAGATAATAAAAGCTGGTCATATCGCGGATTTATGAACCGTAACCGTGATGTAATTATTCAAGACTATTGGGAAAGACTTGACCTTACCTGGTCTCGGCGATTTTTAGTTGATGCAAAGAAGTTGTTGGACAAGGATACTTTTGCAAAGTTAAAGAAGAAGGTACGTTCTTTTATTTTGCAAAGGAAGGGGTAACTCCTAGTTGACCACCGACTTGACTCAGGAGAATTACTGAGTTTTGATAACTGGAGCTGGTACCCACTCCAGAAGTTCTCTATTCAGGCGCCCTAATTTTTGTTGTTGATAAAGGTCTACTGACTCCGGAGGAGGAGCTAGTTATTGTACTTTCCTTTATTATTAAATAAGTCAATGCACTTCTAATATCAATCTCTCATGATAGGTCGAATATGAGCGAAATGGTAATGGTCTTCTTTTATACTGGAAGGCAGTCTTATTTGAATATAATAAAGAAAATCAACCTGCATCCACTGGTAAGGATAAATCATCATAATCTAATAAATTTGTAATTAATTATATGTTTAATAACTTTTAGTGTGCATAAAAAGGAAGATCACAGGAGAGAGAATCACGCCGAAGAAAAGGCGAAGGAAATGGATGATAGATGACGCCATTACGCGAAAAGAACGTTCAATGGTCTATTTTGTAGATCCAGCAGAGCGGAACGTTCCACTCATTGAATTAATTCGTTGTGGTGAATTCGTAACGTTACAGGGACCACGATCCTCCGGCAAGTCTACACGAGTATTCGAAATTCAGAACCAGTTGCAAAATGAAGACTTTATTTGTATTTAGTAAGTTATACTTCTCGCTCAATCTAACCTGTCATGTTGCACGATATATAACTGTTTTCTATTGAAACTCGTCACTTCGGAATAGTGTATGTTTTGAGCAAATCAATATGGAAAGCGTGGGCGAATTCTGGCAGACCTTCGGCGCTCAGCTCTACCTCGATGTTCCCGAATACGAACTCGATAATATCAACTCTGCCAGTGATTTCGGCATAGCATTTCAGAAAATCAAGTGGAATTATCAGATTGTTTTCCTTATTGACGAATTCGATAGAATGTATAGAGCGAATGATGATGTAAAGTTCTCGTGTTTGAAAACTCTTCATGATATTAAGAAAACAAGAGAAAAATATGCCATTTGGTCCGTAGTCGCCACTGGACCCTTCAGTATCCTGCTTCTGAATTCGAATGATTTAACTATGTCACCTTTCGACATTGACGATTTTTTCCAGAACCCAAATTTTACTTTGGAACAAGTACAATCCTTGTACAAACAGTTTGCGGACGAATACAAGCTTATCATTGACCAGGAGACGGGTAAGTAACAAGAGTATGTAAGAATATTTTTTACTAAGATTCTTAATTGTCTCGTTCTTTTTCATTTTAATAGTTGTGCCGGTCTTGTCTGCGGGCGTGTAATTCTCAAAACTAAGTAAAGTTATGCATATTAGCTTTGATATATGGAAAACGTTTTAGCATGTCGTTGGGGGAAGAGATAATCGAATACCAGACTTTTATAAGAATGAAAAATGGCCTTCTTGCAGATGATAAGGATACTAAACGTGCTGTGAATCTCCTTCGATCCGAATATTGACCCTGTATCTGTTTCTGCATTTTTTCCAGATTTAAAATTTTCGAGATTTAATTGAAATATTTGGATTTAAATTTACTTATTTTGAATTTAATTTTAATTGTCCAATTATTTTAAGCATAAACTCAAAAATTTAATAGATTTATCTTAACCTTTTTCTAAAGTAGTAGTTTTTCAAATGGTGCTTATACAATTGAATGATCATCATTTGTAATTTGTTATACCTCTAATAAATATTGTTTGTATTCTTACATTTGTTTTAAAAAAATTTTATTATATGAACTTGTAGTAATATATGATTTTAACACTATATAAAGTTACTATTAAATAATAATTCAAATTCTTATAATTAGTAAATATTTTTATTATATACAATTAACTTTAATACTTTTAGAAATATATACAAAAATTAAATAATAAATTTAATAATTTAAAAATTATAATGAAATCTTTCTAAATGTAACCCCCCTTGAGATCATAGAAAATTTGAAAAAATATATGCAAAAAATTTCAAAAAAAAATTATCTACAAACTAACCAATAATATTAACCAAACAATTCATCACTAATCACTTTTTTTTTAAAAAAAAATTTCTTTAATTTTCTATAAAGAAAAATTACTATAAAATAAAATATTTATATAATTAGATTCCAGAATATTACCTTTTTTTTTTTATTAAATACAAATTTTAGATAAACAGACTTATCTACTATCCATCCAATTATATTATTTATTAAAAAATTAATTTGCCTTTATTTGAAGGTTTATCTTTAATAATTATTACCTCTTCATACATAAAAGATAAATCTTTATATTTATTATTTAAAACTAAATAAAGATATATTTTTTTATATAAGTATTTTTAAAACAAAATATTTTTAAAATTTAATCAAAATTATTTCAATTCTGATTTAAATTTTGACTTCAATTCTATAAAAAAATTTATATTAGAAAACCCATATTAAATATACTTAAATTTAACATATGAAAAAAAAATAATAAAATATATTTACTTTTAATTTTTTCATTTTTTTCTGTTTTAAAATATATTCTAATTTCTTATTACATCAGTAAATTTAATAGGACGTAATATTACGTAAACTTACATTCTGTAATATTACGAAAACTTACAAGACCGCTGTAAGATTACGTAAATTGTATTTCGTAATATTCTGTAACATTACAACGTAGTACTACATAATATTATGGAATGTAAACTATGCGAAAGTTTACGGCATAGTACTTCATAACATTACGGTGTAATATTCTGTAAAACTTACAAAAATACAAAAATTTTGAAAGTTTACGGCGTAGTATTTCGTAATATTACGGTGTAATATTCTGTAAAACTTACGAAAATACAAGAATTTTGAAAGTTTACGGCGT